TGTGCACTCAGATGCTGGGTCAGGAGCGGCTGCTGTGCAAACGAGTCCCCACACTGGCCGCGTGTACGGGGCTTCTCCTCCATGTGCGACCTCTGGTGGCGGGTGAGCGCTGAGGAGAAGCTGTAGGCCTTGCCGCAGCCGCCACATTCGTAGGGCTTCTCTCCCGTGTGTACGATGTGGTGCTGGATCAGGTAGGAGCGGTTTCTGAAAGCCTTGCCGCACTCGGGGCAGGTGTAGGGCTTCTCCCCGGTGTGCGTGCGCCGGTGCAGCGTGAGAGAGGAGCCCTGGCTGAAGGCCTTGCCGCATTCGGCGCACCTGTAAGGCTTCTCGCCCGTGTGGATTTTCTGGTGCTCGATGAGCGAAGACACGTGGCTGAAGGCGGCCCCACACTCGCCGCACCGGTAGGGCTTCTCGCCTGTGTGCACCAGGTGGTGCTGCAGGAGGTGGGAGCGGTTGCTAAAGCCCTTGCCACAGTCTGCGCAGCTGTAGGGCCGCTCGCCGGTGTGCGTGCGCTGGTGCTGGCTGAGGTGCGAGACCTGTGTAAAGGCCTTCCCACAGTCGGCACACTTATAGGGCTTCTCACCGGTGTGGATGCGCCGGTGCTCCGCCAGCGAGGCGCTCTGGCTGAACGGCGCCCCGCACTCGCCGCACCTATAGGGCTTCTCGCCAGTGTGCGTGCGCTGGTGTTGCGTGAGGTGCGCGATCTGCGTGAAGGCCTTGGCGCACTGGGAGCAGCGGTAGGGCTTCTCCTCTGTGTGGATGCGCTGGTGGCGGATGAGCGCAGAGGAGAAGCGGAAGGACTTGGCGCACTGCGAGCACTCATAAGGCTTCTCGCCGGTGTGGATACGCTGGTGTTCCAGGAGGGACGCGCGATTGCGGAATGTCTTGGCGCACTGCCCGCAGGCGTGGGGCTTCTCGCCGGTGTGCACGCGCCGGTGCTGGCTCAGGTGCGTGAGGCGCGCGAAGGCCTTGCCGCACTCGGCGCAATTGTGGGGCTTCTCACCCGTGTGCGTGCGCCAGTGCGATGCCAGGTAGGAGCCCTGGCTGAAGGCCTTGCC